AAATGCAATAGGCATTCTGGAAAGAATGATTCATGCATACTTTTAAAAGGGGTAAGGTTTATATCCTATCTGACTAGGTATAACTAATACTTCTTTTTTCGTTACTAATAAAATCTCCCTCGTATAGGTATAACCGAGGTTTCTAAAAAAAAAATTGCTTCTATAAAATTAACACACGAGTAATTAGTCAATTAAACAACTCCAATTACGACCAGTTGGAGGGTCATTGTCTACATGGTTTTAGGGTTGGAGGTTTATCTAGACTAAAGGCAGCTGAAACTACCCATTCAGCTTCAACTGGAAGAGTATAAGATCCAGAAATCGAGTCCTAAACCTCAAAAGGCGAAGAATCGTTTAGGCTATCTTTGGATGAGGCTCGTGGCTCTACGGGCATGGCTAGTTTTGGTAGTATTTTTCGTGCTTGCGTCATTGTCTTGGATGCTTTGCGTGATCGTTTGACATTGTTATTGCCTTGGAGGCAGAACTTAAAGCTAGTATTCATGTTGTTTATATGGCTTTAGAGAGAGAGCATTCTCTTTGGGTTGAGTGTGTGATTCTTGTTTAGCAGTGCATTTTCTTTCTAATGGATCTTCTCAGGTGCCTTGCCGTTTATCGGTTGGTTGGGCAAATTGTTGTATCATTCTCTTTTCCATGCATGTTCGTTTTTCTCACATTTATCGTGAAGGAAATCAGGTGGCAAATTGTTAGGCAAACTATGGTGTTGATCATGTTGTACCATGAGGGACTTCTCACCCTTATTCTATAAAAGGGACTCATCACCCTCACAATCCTTAAGAGCTCTCTCACCCTCTCACAAACAGAGAAATACAATATCAGTGTGGACGTAGCCTAAACATTGGGGTGAACCACGATACATCTTGTGTTCTTTACTTTTTGCAGATTCACGGTCGGATTTACGTTGTTCCAAGACCTCCGGTTTTGTGCATCAACAGGGTTCATTGGCGAGATTCTTGTCCGCCGTGTGCAATTGCGACTTTTGTTCATAATCTTTTGGAGCTTCCAAATTTATGTTTCTCCTAGGAGTTGTCTGAATTGATTTTTGTTTCTAATAATTTTCTACTTCTTGTTAGGGTTTGGCTTCATGTACCCTCTCACTTATTGCATATTTAATTATTTTATTTTTTAAATTCTACAATATGTTCACAATAATGTCTTTTTTTTTTCATGATAACAATGTTTGAGTCGCAATGACATTGTTGTTTTATTCCCCAAAAAAAGGTTTGGACGAGGTTTTTGCAAGTCATGGGTTTGAAAGCCAAACTATAAAGAAAATGGTCACAATATTTTGGGCATGATGGTTAGGAAATGCATCATCTAAGTAATATAAAGGCATGTGAGAGGGATTAGCTAAACCAACCTTAAAAGGTGTCATTAGCTAATCCATCCTTAAATGTTTTTATAACGCTCTATGGTGTGTTTTCTAATCCCGCCTATAAAACATTTTGTGATCATTTTATTTATCGTTTGGCTTCCAATCCCATGACTTGCAAAACCGTCCAAACATGGCCTTATGATCTTGTACAAATGCAACAAGTTTTACAAAAGGGAAATGCAAATTAAGGCAGCATATATGCCAGTAACCTTTTGACAGCGCTTCTAACAATAAACCAAGCCGACAGAGATTTCATTCTTTACAAACTATGAGTGAACACTTTTCCGTCATTTATAATTAACTTGTCTTTCTCTCGAAAATTCTAAGGTGTTGCAGAGTATCCTATTTAGATTTTGGTCACTGTATCTTTGACCAAAGATTTAATGGTTAAAATGATCAAAGTATATACAAAACCCCCTCTCATCTCTGTTCATAGTTTCAGCAAGTTTGAAACATTAGTAAATTATCAGTAATACTGGTAAAGCTGCAGACCTACTTACCATCTCAAACTGGTACATAAGAAACTATCAAGAATCATACAGTTAAACTAATTAAACACATTTGCAAGCACATGATGCCAAAAATAAGAAAAAGAGAAATACTTATCACTAGTGAAAATATGTAGAAATCAGTTTAATTGGATTGTATTAAGAAAATAAATGACTTTCTTCTAGGAGCCTAGGAGGGACATTGAAGTTCTTGGAAGCTATATCATAATTAAAGCTCTAGCCTTCGACAAAAAATCAGTTAAATTAAACACGGATGATGATGATGATGATGAGGACGAGGATGATGTGGAGGTTCGAAATGAATTGATACCGTATGTGATGAGTGTTACTCAATTAGTCTACTACAACCAGAGTCTGATAGGGTTGAGGAGAGATGGCGGCTTCCATGACAAGGTCTGGGCAAATTTCCCCGTCATTGTCCAGGAAGGACTTGATCAACTTGTTGGAAAAGTCATTCAACACCGTCACCCATACTCTTGTTGTGTAGCACAGAATGGCGGCATAAAAAGGTTATGTTTCAGATTCCAAACCACCAAGTGTGGCACCACTTTGCCGTACCCTTTCTCTTTGTACTTGCTCCGGATTACCTCGTAATCACTCTCCCAGCGCCAGAAGCCGTCCTTATCAAAGCCAAAGTCGTAGTCTCCGGTGATCACAAACACCCTCTTGATCATCTGCTCCGTCTTCAAATTCTCGTTCACAGCCACTTCCAGAATCAAATCAAACACCTTTCTGAAATCAACACGGCAGTGCTCGCAGTCCATCCTCCTCAAAAAGGCGTACCTGGACTTGAGATCATCAAGTCCTTGTGTCGAATGCAACTTCGGGTTTGGACTGAAATTGATCACCTTTCCTTTCCAGGCATTCTCTTCGTTCAGTTCAGACAGCAACAGCCCCAAACCCACCGAAACATCCTGATCAAGTCTGTACATGCATTTGGAGATGTTACACACAACCCATGAGTTGTTCAGTATCTTCATCTTCTTCTTCTTGCCTTGCACTTCATGTTCTCCACCATTGCCTTCCACTGAAGCTGAGCCACTCGCCCAACCTCCCCGTCATCCACATATTCTATGATCTGGTGCGGAAGCAGAGCACCGGCGTCAATCTTTGACTGGCCGGATTTCACCTCCTCGAAATCCTTGGTAGCGAAACAAGGCTCTTCGTCGAACTCCATATCATAACCCCACTTGGAATCATCTGAAATGTCAGAAGCCTTCCTTAACGGCACCAGAACCTCCTTCCTCAGCCGTTCGTTAAGGTTCTGGTATTCGGGTACAATTCTCGCTAGTAAACCTTCTTTGCGACGCTCTCGCAGAGGAAAGTGGCGCAGTCTTTACAGAAAGTCGCAGCCTGAGTGATCTCCAACCGGTCACCATCACGGCGGTCCATCCCCTCCTTCAGAATTCGAATGTACCGCTTGATGCAGTGGGCGAAAAGAGCCGAAACCCGGTCGTGTAAAAACCGGTAATCCGGGTCGCTCCGGTACCTCTCAAGAGCTATCTTGTCATCCCCTGCGAACATTCTCTCTTCAATGTCCCGGTCATCATCATCATCATAATTCCTGACGTCCTGGCGGGAAAGTATCCGGTAGAGAACTCGAACAAGGTCTCCCATGCCGCCGAAGGAACCGGCGATGGGAACCAGGTTGGAGGCAAGGGTCTTGGGGTGGTTGTGGTGGAGCCAATACGCCGCCGCGTCAAACCCCCGTTCGTCGTCTTTGCCCGTGCCATTGGACCTATCGAGGAGGTTGCACATGAGCTTGAGGGTGGTTAGGGGATTGTGGGACCAAGCCAAGGGTAGTAGAGATTTTTCATTGTAACTGTCACACGGGGTGGTATACCACGTGTCGCTACATAAATGGTGTGATATGTGTGTTAAAAAGTTAATAACTTAAAAAATAAAATTTTCCACCACTTACATAAAAACAAGTGATGTAACACCCATGTTCTCGTTACACGAGGTGATACATCACGTGCCCCTATATAAATGATGGGATACGTGTCTTTGTAAAGCTTCCATGCTTGGATTTTAAATTTTTTACTGGTTTGTGAGAAATGAATGGAAAAAAGAATTGAGGGGAAAGCCTTTATTTTTTTGGATTTTATCCTCTGTGAAACATAGGGTTTAGACCTCAGATTTTCTTAATGGAATTGAAGTATGCTCTTGATATAATCATTCTTAATTTGTTAAGGAAACAGTTCTCACAATTACTATTAGTAGATGTAACAGGTGACACAACAACAATAAGAATAAAATGTTCCTGCTTATCGACATCTGTTTCATATAAGTCATGAAAAACGTCACTAAACTCCGACATCGTTGTCTCAATCTCGAACCTCCATTGGCCTTCTATTGCTGGTTTTTTTTTTTTGTATCCCTTTCAGATTTGAGTCACATTTTTGTTGCATTGCTATCTTAATTTCGTTTATTATTCACTTGGCTCTAGCTGTGTTGTTACCTGCAAATTTCACTATTATGTTCTTTTATTTAACTGCTGAGAAAGGATTAGTAAAATAAAATCATTATCAATTTATCAAACAGTGTTTTTAGAACTTATGGTATGGAAAATGGTATATGGAATGTGTACAAAAGTCACAAAATAAAAATAATTGCGGGAGTTACTTAGGAGTTTTATTTTGAGTAATGTTACACTCACCACATATTTGTATCATCTCTCTAATAGAGGTAGAGCCCACCAACACATATGATATCTATCTCTCTAATATTTGTAGAGTTATTACAGAGGAAAATCTAAATCTTGAGGCCCAAGTTGAGTGAAATGTGGACTTTGAAGAGCCTCTTGAAGCAGCTCATGATCGTCCCACGAATCCTTATATGTTTCTAAGTCGGTCTCAGCATTTCTTATTGTCGAAAGGCAAATCTTTTTCCTCCATTCTTCCAAACGTGGGAACCCTATGTGATCCCCATATCTATCACAATACTGCAACAACAAGCGAAACAAAAAACGTAAAGACCTTAGAATATAAGCTACAATGGCTTTACGAGTCACTTGATCAGTAAATGTGATGCATGTAATTGTGTTGCACGAAAGTTTACCTCGAAGTCGCCGATCTCGTGGGTGTTATGCTTTGGAATGCCAGCAATTTCCCTTGAGTGGTAGAACTCCTTGATGGAATGCATCATGTCATCCCTTGATGGCAATGTTGTTTGGCCAGAGAGTAGTTGAGCTATCCATTTTGCTTGGGACTCAAAGAAAGGGAACCCTATGATCTAGATCAGATTTGTCGATTGATAAATATCATTTTTCACAGAGATCTACTAAATTCATTACAGATTAGAATCGTCTCCGGATCATATCTATCCGGATCCTCGGGATTGGTTCCTCGGGATCAACCAATCCTCTTCATTCGTAGTACATCGTGCGACAAGCATCAAGTTTATTTATTTTTTTCAAATTTGCACAAGAGAACTCTCTCTCCCGTTCCACAGTTCCACTCGTCTTATGTCCTTCTCCTCTCCTCCCGTTCCACAGTTCTTTGGGATCAATCCATTCTGAAACACTGAAACCAAATCAGATTGCAGAGACGGGTTTACTAGTCGGCCATGGAAGCCATGAAAAGCACCATGAGTGATGGATTCGCCGGCGCAGAGAGAAGAGACTACGACGAGCACCGCTCTGTCAAGACGGAAGCTGCGTCAGTCACGGAGACTCAGAGGAGAGAAAGAAGAGGATCAGGAGGAGCCTAGAAACAGTATCGGTTGATCCGATAATCCGGATAGATATCCGGAGACGATCCGAATTCTTAAATTAGAATGAATAACTCTAATTATGCTCCAAAGTGCTCTATATTTAGAATTTTTTGTTGTTAAATTTTAATCATTGTATTATCTTTAACCAAGAATCTATACCTCAAAGCATACTAAAACTGGACGACCCAAAACCCCAACAGGACTTCCTGCTTTGCGAGGGTCGTGAGAATAACGTTTATCGTTCATATCCTTATTCTTGCTTTACAAAAAAACTGTTTCCACAACTGAAGCCATAACCTTTTAGTCACATAAAAAAAAACAACATTTTTCGTTGGACCTTGGCTCGCCCTCCCTAGCTTTACCCCAAAGCATACTATACATTCTAAAATTAGAAATGTTTTAGTTACCTTTGTTGCAATTCCCATAAAGGATAAAGAGGGTGCAAGTGATGGAGGGAAGGTGTGCACATACAGAGGGCCCACTCTGTTATCATCTATAGTAACTATTCCTTTGGTGTCAAGAAAGGGGAATGTGTATGAATACCTGCACACATTCCACTTGGAACAATTAATATACACTATTTCAAAGGGAATGCAACTGGGTGTGGATCCATAATTTGAATGTGGGGACCCACACAAAATTTTCAGTCAAAATCAAAAGACTATGGTTAACCAATCACTTTCCAAAGCAAGTCCATCGTTTGATAGAAAGAAGGGATGTCATGTGCCGGTATTTGAAGTCAATCATGTTACATAATAGTGTGTGATTGACTTATAACTTATCACTTTGTCATAATGAAATTTCCGTTCTACTGATGATATTGAATTGAAAATTTACCCAGTACAGTATATGATAGTGTCTGCAATGACCCAAGAACCGTCCACAAATAATACATTCCCATCTTCTTGGAGTGACTCTATCTGCATTTGGTTGCATTTAAATGTCACATAAAAGAAATCTGTACTAAAACAGAGCTTTATATATTGTTTATAATCTAATCTTAGACACCAAACGTGATGTTTGATTATAAAAGCTAATTTATTGTACCTGGGGACGAAGGTGCAAGTTTTCGTGTTTGGAAATTACTTTGGACAAGCCCTCAGATATGTCAAGAGATTTGGCACTGAGATAGATTGCCTTGGCCACATCCACTAGTTCCATTGATATATCTTGTCCACTTACTGAATTTCCAACCACCACCACAACCTGCAAATGAGCAAAAGGATCATTTCATCTCTTTTGTGCTAGAAACTTTCGTTGATCTATATAAACTTATGGTAGACAACTATGATTCTCCAAACGCTCATAAGCTATCAGGAAATGAGCCAACACTATATATCTAAGCTAACAATTTCGCAATTAACTATATATTGCCTTGCCTCATCACGAAATGGCTCCGGAACCCTGTAGATGTGACTATGCATTTGCTTCCTCTTCCATGCATCCATTCCTAAACATGACCAAATTGAACCCACCGCAATTAAAAAGAAAAAAAAAATGGAAATAGAGAAAAGAAAAAAAAAAACAAAATTGAAACCACATATAATTATGATTAAAAACGTGATTGTAAATACCTTTAATGGACGGCAACCTTGGCTTAGAGTAATGGCCGGAGGCCACAACCACCGCATCAAACACCTCCTCCACGAAAATCTCGGTCTTCTTCTCCACACTCCTCACAACCCATTTCAAATCTTTGCAACCACCTGCATGATCTCCATCCAACATCCCCACATATGAAACCCTCGTATTGAACCGTATCAACTCCCTCAACCCAAACCAATCACAAAAATCCTTGAGGTACAAAAGAAGCTCCGTATGGCCAGGAAACCTCCTCATGTCCCTACCTTTCTTGACTGCAAATGGAAAGTCAGTGAACCCCGCGATCTCTCTTGGTAACATGAGCCTCAAAGACGTGTAAAGACTACTATGCACCTTCAGGGTAGGTGCCCTTCCTAAGGGATCCTCTCCCTCCACATTTGGGTCGTACAGCCACTGCCCTCCCACATCATGGTTTTGTTCCAGCACCACCACCCTGTGACCTTCGTTCCTCAGCTCCCTTGCAGCTACAAGCCCTGAGGGTCCAGCTCCAATCACGCATACATTTTTGGATTGGTAAGTTTCAGAAGCCATGGTCGGTCTAGGGTTTAGGCTTGTGGATTTTTATTTTTCTCTTCTGGGTGTGGGAAATTTGGGAAAAGGTACTCGTCGATACTTTTTATGGGGATTCTAGGGATCTCGTGATCGTGACCGTTTATTGTACATTATGCAATTAGTTTTCGTTAGGTACTATTTATATTTAATTTTGAAATGATTTATAACCGAACGATGTACAATAAACAGCCATGATCACGAAATCCCTAAGATCACGGGAAAAGGATCATAGGGATAAGTCATAGTTAATTTTAAATTTTAAGTTTGTTGTTGTTGATGGGTATATATATTAACATTTGTTTACATACTTTGTATGTATGAGCACATTTTTAGAAAATGCGAAGGAGAGAGGGAGAGAGAGAAATCGTGGGGGGAGTTAGAGGTTTTTTTTTGGTTTTTTTTCCTTAAATATTGGAGGTATTTTAACATCACCTGTAGGTGAGGCTTGAATAAAAAATAGTAAAATTTGAACCTCTGAAATTATATTATTACCTATAACTTTTGTTTTTTTGATAGAAGATTAACTTGTCTTTTTATGTTCTTTTGAATAACAAAAAATATTTTATATATATATATATATATATATATATATATATATATATATATCTGTGTGTGTGTGTCTATATATATATAGAGTTAATTTTCTTCACGCAAACTGATGGAAACAAAATTGATAATAATATTGTTGGGAGGCAAGTCAGTCTGATGGAGATGGTTTGCTAGCTCGGTGACAACACTTGATATATTAAAGTCAATGCCTGAAAGTTGTCTACTTTAAACTAAAAAGTGTACTTGCATGTAAATTTACAATCTCATCCTTTTGCTATTGGGTAATGAAATAGATATTAAATTTGTAAATAAAACTTTAGAAATTAAAGAATATGTAAATTGATGATTGGTTTATTACTTAAACGTGATCGTTCTTATTAATGACACATCATTTAGTTTATAAATTTTGTCTTCAAATTTAGTCTCTCTAACATTACCATTTGTTATTTGTGATCATCATCACTGTCCCAACCAAAATTGTCTTGAGCCAATTAAAGGACTTTGGAATATATGCGGGCTCATGAATGCAAGTTTTTAACAAATTATATTATCTGTACTAATTGGCTGAATGAGTGGGTTAAGCCTCATAATGAGTTAACAATAATGTGGTTCAAATTTATTTTTGACAAGAATCGAATCTAAGATATCTCTTTTACAAGTGAAGACTACTAAATTGTAGTATTAAATGACTGCAAGTTCAATGAATGCTAGGGAGATCAATGCTAAGGATACTTTTTTTTTTATAACCTTCAACTTCACGATTTAATAACAATTTTTATGCTTAAAGGAAGGGATCCCCACTTTTTTGTTTAAATGGGGACATCCTTTTGACTATTAGATTTAGCTTTAATGAAATTTTTTGGCCTGTAATTTAATCACAACCATATAATTTCATTTAAGCCAAATCTAATGGTTAAGATGATGTCCTTTTTTTTTTGAAAAATAAGAATTTTTTCTCTAAAAGAGTCTGTATTATAAAAAATTATGTCAAAAACATGAACACAATAATATTCAACTAACCTCATTTTACAAAATTATAAACCTTTACATTCACATTCTTACACGTCGATTCCAGCTCCACACACGTTCTTTTGCACGTTGATTCCACCCACGTTCTTGGTCGCGTCGAAAGGATATTTTATGAAAATCTCTTTGCATAATTGATTTCAATACTGTTTGAATACCAACAAAACGAGATGAACCTTCATCCAACAGTTGTGCAGAAAAGGAATTAATGGGCATCCCATCAAGGTTGGATATTAACTTATCATGGGGTTTGGATTTTCTACTTAGATATATTTGGTAAGGATAATGTGAGAGAGATTAAATTTTTACAAATAAAATAATTTAGTTGTAGATGATTGGATTATTAATTAAATATTGATTAACGTGCTTATTTTTTATTGGTGACACATCATTTAGTTTGCAAATTTAATTTATAAATTTGGTTTCCGTAAAATTATCCATATATATTTTCTCTGGTTAGGGTATCAATGTCACCATTTTTTCACATAAATAAAAGGGTGCATGTGTAATTTTGTTCTCTTTTTATGCAAATATTATTGGTGTAGAATTTACTTATCAAAGTGGTCGGCATTGCCTTTTGTAGCAGAGTGACTTTTTTAGTGTTGTTTTCTTTCTTCATTTGAATGATTTTGATCCTTCTTGGGTTCTTTGTACACAATGCTTACTCGTTTGGTTTGCATGCATGACATGAATAAACACAGGCATGCAAACTAATTGGTATTTCCACCGATACTGATAGTCCACACATATAGTATATAAAAAGCTCATATACTGACATCTAGGGCCTAGACAAAACTGTTGTACTTTTATGCGCAAACGGAAGCGAATTCTAATAAAGTACAAATATCAATGTCGTAGGTGAAAGCTAAAACAAACAATCTCAAACTAACACAAGAGATTTACGTGGTTCGGCGTAAAGCTTATGTCCACGAGTGAAGCACGGCGAGAAATTTCACTAAACAAACAGAGATTACAAAAGAGTGTTTAAACTCTCACAACCCAAATCCCACAAATTACAACCCCTAAACCAAACGAGTAGAGAACCCAAAACCAACGGAAAAGATTCTCCCCAATTGCTCTCTAACTCACAAACTCACAAATTGACTCTCACCAAATTGCCACACGAATGAGCCACACTAAATACAATAACCCTAAGGTCCTATTTATAGTGCATAGGACTTAGGTTACAATAAGAATCCTAATAGAAAATAAATCAAAATCCTAATCAAATAGGTAATTAACAAAATCTCTCCACAAAGGAAACTAACTAAGAAGTCAAAATCAAACCCAAATAGGACACCAAAACCAAATAGGTAACAAAAACCTAATTTATTGCATCATCCTAATTTTGAGCCGTAAAAACCCAACAAAAACATGCATCACTATCATATCAAACAGAAGGCATGAACACCCCTTTTTACTTATCACACACCCTTCTAATTTTCGGTCGTCAAATCGGATAAATTGAAGAAGAAAAAAAAACAGAAATTAACAAGAGGTGTGTGAGAAGTAAAAAGGATGTGTGAATAGCACACCCCGTATTTTAATTTTCCAAGGTTGTGTCTTCAAGGGCCGTTGAGGCTTGGTCCTAAATGAAATGAAAATTTTCTTCAAGGACTGTAGAGGCTTAATCTTGAATGAAATGGAAATATTCTTTAAGGGCTGTAGAGGCTTGATCTTGAATGAAATGAAAATTTAATTCAATGGCCATAGAGGCTTGATCTTGAATGAAAATTTTGAAAGTGGATAAATCGGCACATATTTATTGTGCATATTAATTTTTCATAATTTTTTACAAAATACATTTGATGTATTTTGAGGCTTGTATTCTTTCCTTGTGGGTGTGGGAAAAAATGCTTTTTCCTTCCTTAAGTAGGGGCCTCTTTCAATTTTGGTGTAGACATGTAAATTTCGTTGCATACAAATAATGTATCACAAAGCTCCACGTGACATATGATTCATCACAAATGGACAAGTTATCAATGACATGTGGCACAAATCAAGCAAAAGAAATATAAAATCTTCCTAAGAATCGGCACAAGGGAGAAACTCCCTTAAATTCGGCAACAAGGTCTAGATTGGTCCTAAAATCGGAAAGAAAGTTAAGGCATCTTCATAAAATAAGCAAGAATTGAAGATTGCTCACAAAATAAGCAACAAGGCCTCATAATTTCGGCCAAGGGAGTAAAGTGGCTAAAATTAAGACACAAAACATGCCTAAATTCTCTCATGGACAAATTAGGACATAAATCAAAGCCAAATCCACCCAAAGGCAAGCTTTGAGAAGCCTATAAATACAAGGTCATCCCACAAGCATAAGGGTCAAAAATTACACATTGAGAAGAACCTCTGCACAAATCTTTGAAGACTAATATGCTGCCAAAGCTCTCTTCAAAGAACGCACAACCAACTAATTGATCTTATCACAAATTAAACTATAGTAGATATCAACAAAAACATGTACAATAAACAAATTAACACCATCAAATCAAATTTTAAAAATACTAAATGTTGATATCATTCATGCATATATATCATCCATCAGTTTCAGTAAATGTTGTCGATATTTCTGACATATCGGTTGAATATCAGAGGAACTCTTATATTTCGTCCAAACCATATTTAACAAGCTGTAAAGTTTTATTTTAAATTTCCATCATTTTTATCAAAAACAGCCGATATCGATATTCGATATATTCGTCGATATTTCCACAAATTTGCATCGATATTTCCATCAATACTGATACTTTAAACACTGGCCAGTCAAATGAAATGATTTTAATAATTATATTGTAGTAAACGGAACTCAACTATCACAATGATTCTAGTTCTCATTCTCGTGCTAGCCAGAAGAGAACATAATGATTCTAGTTCTCATTCTAGTCCTAACCGGAAGAGATTGTGATTGAAAGGGATTGAATATATATATTTTTTATTTGGGTTCGGTTTGGGATTACAAAACGAATGAAAATGTGAGACCGATTCTTGTACCGAAATTTCGGGATTGGTTTGGAATTGGGTACCGAAATTTTCGGGATTATTGGTTTGGGATTTTTTCGGTTTAGTTTTGGGATTTTTTCAGTTCGGTTTGAAATTTTCAGTATTTTTTTCCACCCCACAACTAGCTGTTTAATCCATTAACATTATTGCTCAAAAGAAAAAAATATAGCACTAATTTAATATATATATATATATATATATATATATATTATTTAGTACTTGTCATAGGGTTATTGGAAATCTCATCAACGTAATATTTACCTTGCAGGTTTTCCATCTGCTCATGCAACAACATTTGCATGGCATGATTATAAATTTCTGAATTATAAGAAAATGACAAAGTAGGTCAACCATTTACTTGCCGGATCTCTATTCTTTTAAAAGGATAGGAATTAGTTGTGAGTCTCACACTACATCGAATTTTAACCATCAAAACCGTTTATTTTTCAAGTTGCACCTCATAGATTATCTTTGCAAAATATTAGATAAACTGGAAATATTTGAGGCATCTAATTGAGTTCAAAGAATTGACAAACACTAAGCTCTAAAAAACACTGAAGTTTCATTGAGACAATTAAATAGGCAAATTGTTAGGATTGACACAACTACATCAAACTTTAATGATCTGAACAGTCTATTTTTAAGTTGCACCTCATAGATCCTTGCAAAATATTAGATGAATTGGAAATATTTGAAGTATCTAATTGAGTTCAAAGAAATTGACAAACACTATATTCTTCATCGAGACAATTAAATAGGTAAATGGTTCAAATTGAAATAAATTTTTATAAGATGATCTATGAATCGAGATTTATAAAATAGACAATTCGAATCATTGAAATTTGATTTGAAATGAACCTCACAAACTAATCCCCATTTTTATATCATTCCCTTAAAAAGGGACTGCATAAGTTATTATTCATCATTTTATTATTATTTTTTTGGACAAACTAAGATACTTTTCCACTAAACAAAGAGACTCATACAAGGAAAAGAGAGTCCAAAAGACATCTCACAACCGAAATACAAGCCCAACAGGAAAAAGTAAATACAACACAAAGCCGAAAAGCCATACACCACCAAAAATCGAACAAAAAACAGCAACCGGATCAAAGGAAAATGGGGGTGAGCAAGCCACCAACGCTGTGAACGTTGCCATAATCCTACCAAATAGTACAAAAAGCACTTTAACAGCCACCCAAAACCCAAGCACGTCATCGAGGAGAAGCACTAGGGGCTGAGAAGCAGGGGTTAGTAGTTGTGGACTCACGACGGAAGGAAACATCAGAGCAGGAAGGTGTTTACAAGTTCTGATCTGAGACAAGCTCAGAGAATTGAGACAAAGCTCAAACGAACTGAGACAAAGCTCAAAGAGAGCCAAAATGAAAACAGAAAAAAGCACTGCAGGAAAAAAAACAGAGGAGGGAAGGCGTGATAGGGGAAGAGGGAGGACTTGAGGGTATGGGTAGTGGGTTGGGTTGCAATAGGAGAGAAAAGGGTGGAAGGGAAAGGAGGATGACCAGAGGGCGAGGGAAATGGGCTAGAGAGGAGAAGAAAAGGGGGAGCAGCAAGGGAAAGCCGGCCGACTCCAACTAGAGGAAGGAGTCGGCGGCGAAGGCTGGGAATTTGGTGGGGATCCTGCAAGAGAGAAAAGCAGGAGCGGCAAGGGTTTTTTCATTATTCATCATTTTATTAGTGTGTAATCTAAATATGCGGGTACAAAAAGAAAAATTAATTGTTTTTGTCCCCTAGCTAAACTTGACCCTGTGAAGGCCAAAAAAATGGTTTGGGATCAACTCCAGTGACCCCTTTGATTGTCCAGTTGGTGACGCTTTGGTGCCCACCATCTAGTGACGAAATGACCGAATGAATTGCCTGAAGTTGATGTTTCTGATACTGGACGCACGAGCTTTCCTTTTAAAACGACATAATTTTGAACCTGGTCTTTAGTTCTCGTTTTCATTTACAAATGTTTTAAAAGAAAAAAAAAATAACAATAAACCTCCTTATATCCACACCCAACCCCGATTACTTACCCCCAAAAAAATCCAAATCACTGTCATATCATCTCCCAAATTGGACAGGAGCCACCATAACCCCCCCAAACCCGCCACCACATGCCGCCATTTTGCCACCGAGCCACTACTCTTTCCTCTCTCATATTTTCGTCCCTAAAATTTCAAGTAACTTTTAAATTATAATCCTAAATTTATGGTTTATGAAATTGAATATTGTGGTTTAAAAAAAATTAAACATTTTTACCAACTCATTGATTATAAATCCTGAATCCGCCGCAGCTCATATATATATATATATATGTGTGTGTGTGTGTGTGTGTGTGATTCTAATCCATAGATTGCAAAGCAGTAGGTTGATAAGCATATATTACAATAGATCCTAACACTTTATTTATGCACACTATCTAGGGTATACTGCAGTGATAGATCCTTCATCAACGAACGGAGATGACTTGCCGATAGATTGATCGGATTCTAGCGTTGTCTTTGACGTGTTCCCTCCTGATTTGCTTCGGAGGAAAAATGCTGGTTTTCTAGCGTTGTCTTTGACGTGTTCCCTACTGCTCTGCTTCGGAGGAAAAATGCTGGTTGTTTAGGTAATGGCAGACTAACAGAGTAGCTTAAGAATAACAAGGGCGAAATGCCAATTTAGTCCCTTAGTTTCTGAACTATCATCTCAATGAAAATTAGATTTCTGAATTACTTTTTGGTAAAATAAGTCCCTAAATTCATTACGAATTGCTAAATTGCATCCCTACTATTATATTCAAATCTATTTTATCCAATTTTTCATCAACTTAAGTCATTTGAGACACTTTGAAGTGTAATACTGTCTTTTTTTTGCCTATAAGTCCTTAACATTTCATATAGGTTACAAATCTAACGTATAATTTATCCTCAAAAGTTAACTCTATACACTATTTCTTTATGAACAATTACCAATCAACCCTTCAATATGTATCACATACAAGTAATGTAACTTAAATTGATGGAAAATTGAAAATAGTAGCTTCAAATATAATATTAGGGATGTAATTGACAGATTTTTATAATTCAAGGACTGATTTTTCTGAAGAAAAAAAAAATAGTTCAGTGACCTAATTTTCACTCAGATGATAATTCATAAACTAAATTTACAGAAAAGAACACAATCTTCGTTTTCTGCTCTATGTAAGTTTATACTTGGTAAATAATACATGGAAAAAAATAGAATGTACAATTTGAGGAAGATGCTGGAAAATTATCGTTACAATAGTAAGTATCAAAATGTTTAATTCGGTTATTACCGATTAAAGGACTCACTAAACCATATCAATCACGTTATGTGAAAAATCAAGATATTGGAGAAACTCAGGATACAGATTGCATTTGCATCTTTGATGTTTTCAATACTAACAATGGTCAATCATCGTTGGAAACCAAATTCAAGTTTCATGTTTTCTAACAAATAAATATAAACAGATGTCGAGTCCGAGCACTAGTAGAATTTTATGCGATTCACATCATATAAACAAACAGAAATTGCGCCTAAAACTTGTATGTGCAGAACGTTCATCCTTCTAAGGACGGATGATACCATATCGGTAGATTTTGTTATTGTCTAGAGACGATTGTATATATAAGCGGATATTACAATACGTAGCAGTAACAGCTTATCTATTCACCCTATCTAGGGTATACTTCAGTGTTAGATCCTTCATAAACGGATGGAGATGATTGAGCGGAGTCCAGTGTTGCCCCTGACATGTTTCCCATTGCTCTGCTTTGGAGGAAAAATGCCGGTTGTTGAGGTGATGGCAGAGTAAGAGAGTAGCTACTGAGCATGAGAACTACCGATTGCATTGTCGGCCTGTCAGCTGGATCTTCCTGAACACAAAGTAAGCCGATGTGGATGCATCTGATTACTTCAGTCCTCGAATAAGAATCTCTTAGACACGGATCCAACAATTCCAAAGGTGCCCCATCTCTCCATAACTTCCAAGCCGGCATAAAATTCAAAAGTTTAATTCACGATGCTAGGTCAATGCAAGAGAACAGAACACTACACTTTTCATTTTAAGCTTACATGGCTCATGAGGTCCTCAGCTACATCGGTCTGAAAGAATGTACTGTTCTTCTTGCCACTGATGATTTCTAGCACTAAAACACCGAAACTATATAGATCGGACTTGACAGAAAAACATCCGTGCCTTACGTACTCGGGAGACATATAACCACTACAAGAAGCCAACCATCAGTATAGAAATTATGATAAAGATGTAACGAGAGAACATTTCAGATTCAATTTGATAATTGCAAAACAAAAGTGGTCGTGAGAAAAGAATGAAATAGGTAACTTACAATGTTCCGGCAATTCTATTCGTGTTTGCTTGAGTTTGATCAACCCCAAATATCCTGGCCATGCCAAAATCAGATATTTTTTGATGCATCTCCCCATCTAACAATATATTGCTAGCTTTGAGATCACGATGTATAATTCTAAGTCGGGAATCTTCATGTAGGTACTGTAAGATTAATAAATGCGGAATAAGTAAATCACAATACCAAAAATTAACCACTAACCTTTGACGCTATTGCTGCAATGAACTAAGGATTCTTCTACTCTCAACACAGACCGAATGCACTGCTACAATCAATGGGGCTTGATATCTTTTTGTGCGTAATTCGTGTGAGAGCAGGGGACCCCTATTATATATCCTAAATGGTGATGTTTGATAAGGATACTTCCCATCATGTAATCCTTATCAAACTATCAAACCGATAACCCTTATCACCACAAAACCATACTATTCATATCAGTATAGATATATCTACTTATATCAGAATTACTTTAGCTATATATCAGTCCACATAAATTCCTTGATAGCTTACAAGTATAGTCAATCCTAATCTCTTATGATCTCAAACCCTTAAGCACGTGTCAAACAAGTGAGCAGCTCTAACAAAGCTTACATTCTCCCACTAGAGCCAACACTTGTTTATCACAGTACCACCTAATAAGAAATCATACTTGAATGGCCATGAGAATAAGATTAACAAAACCCTGATAACAAGTTTCTGTCATAAGTTAGTATTCATGAAGAACTAAAAGGAAGTCATGCTCCAATATATAAACATTATCCCCAAAATTACTGTCATGAAACCATCAAACACATGAAACTCCATCAAGACATGAAAAATAATACAAGATGCAAATATGAATGCTTCTTTAATGCACTTGCATTATGGTCCTCCCTCAAGACCAGTAAACTAGTCCACTTTATTGTCTCGTACTGAGACCCTTAAGTTGCTTTTTTTTGTTACAACAATTCAAACAAATTGTCATCCAAAATACACTTTCATAATGTATCTGTATCATAACTATAACACTGCAATTTATGGGAAACCTTTGCAACTAGCAGCGTATTACTTTATTAGTTAAGATGATCTTAACATAAATACTTTAATGCATATTCCAAAAATACCTGAATCAACCAATGTCCAAGAACAAATGTCTTAAACATGATCTAAACTCCCACTGTTCTGCAGTACCAAAAACTTCCAGCACTTCCATCTTCCTTGTATGTTTCTTGAATATTGCCTTTGCAATGGCCTTGTTCAACGGATATGCTATCATAGAACCTGTCCCCAAATAATTAATTTTAACCAAACCAATCATCACCTTTTCACGAGCAACAAAAAACTTAATCTCCGGGTTCCTTGTAGTATTGTATCTCTTATTGTTCTTTGTGAAGAAAATCATTGCACTATTATCACAGTAAAGCTGAATGAGTCTTGAGATTGAGTCAACAATACGAAGACCAATGATAAAATTCTTGAACCAAACTACCTAATTCACAATTTCACAGCAAGACAAGTACTCAACCTCGAAGAATGCAATGAGGTCTTGCTTGGCACTCCTTTAAGAAACAGCTCCATTAGCCATCATAAACGCATAGCTTGAAGTTGATTTCAAATCATCTGGGTAATCAGGGAAGTCTGCGTCATTTGTATCCTTCTAAGACCAAGTTTTCAGTCTTCTTATAAACCAGCATATGAGACTTAGTTTTCTACAGGTACCTTAGAACTCTTTTCCTAGCATTCCAATGTGCTTCTCCTGCATCAGAATGGAATCTCCCTAAAAACCTAATGGTAAAAGATAGGTTTGGCTTAGTACAAACCTGAGCATTCATTAAGCTCCTTACTAATGAGGCGTAATGACTATCCTTCATCATTTCCTTTTCCAAATTATTTCTAAGACATTGCTCCTTGCTTAGCTTAGCACTCTTCGATATAGGCATTTCAGTTGTGCCGCATGCTGACATGTTGAATCTATTTAAAACTTTCTCAATGTAACTTCTTTTTGACAACCCTAACAATCCCTTCTTTTTTCTTTTTTTTTTCTTCTTTCTCTTTTAATCTCGATGCCGATCACCTAAATCTTTCATCTCAAACATGAAAGACTTGGTATCATCTAAGAAAATCAAACTATTTGTTGCCAACAATATGTCATAAACATTGAGTACCAGAATAATGAAGTTGCGCCCACTGACTTCCAAGTAAATGTAGGCATCATAAGGGTTTTCCACAAGGCCATGATCCTTAACAACACGATGGAACTTTAAATACCACTGTCTCGACGCCTGTTTTAAACCATAGATTGGTTTTTTTTTTTTTTTTTTTTCAATCTAATTGCTCTCTCCCTTTCTCCTTCAAACTCTCTGGTTGTCGTGTGTGTATATATATATATATATACTTTCCTCCAAATCACCATTTAAGAAAGTCGTTTTTACATCCATTTGATGCAAAACAAGTCAAAATGTGCCACCATCGCCATGATTACTCTGAATGCATCTTTTGTTGGTACTGGACTAGAAGTTTCTTTATAATTGGTACCTTCTCTTTGAATGAATCCCTTGGCCATCAATCTGACCTTATGTCTCTTTATATTTCCCTTTGAGTCTTTCTTGGTCTTAAACACCCGTTTAAGACCTTTCGGTTTCATGCCTTCTCTTGGTTCTACTAGTTCCCATACTTTTTTTTTTCTTCCATTGATGACATTCAGACTTCATAGCTTCTAATTGTTTGCTTGCTTTTGGACTCGAGATGGCTTGTTTGAAAGTCCCAGGATCTTCGAACTCTGATAAATTAAAATCTGGCCTTGCCAAATACACAAAATCTGATGAGATTGTTGACTTTCTTACCCTATTTGATTTCCTCAAAAGCAGTGGAGCAGCATCTACTGCCAAAACTGGTGAGTTTAGTCGGTGGTTGCTTCCATTGTCAGTGCTTCCTCCACGTGTGCTTCCTGATTTCCTGCATGTTGTTCATCATTCAACAACACCCCAATTTCAGTGCCATACTCCAGTCGGTGGTTATTGCCACTTGGAGCTGCCACCTCCACGTAATCTCCATGATCATCATTTTGTTGCTCACCATGCAACAACACATTAGTTTGCTGCTCACCATGCAATAATTCATTAGTTTCAGTGCCATGCCCAAAATTACAATCATCATTACCTCCACTTAATTTCTTCCATTTGATTTGGAAGTTGAACCAAAGCTGCTGCAGTCAGTGAATGTTTAAATCATTCCCCATTTGACCATCTTCTTCAAATATAAAATTGTCAGTTCTTGTGCTTACATGATCGTCCATCTCTAACTCCATAAACAACTGGTAGATTGGTCCTATAATCATACTCCTTACCATGTCCATTAGGGTTCTAATTCTTCTCTAAGCCACTTCATTTTGCTCCGGTGTACCAGGGATGGTATATTGAGCTACAATTCCATGTTCTTGTAAAAATAAAGCAAAAGGCCTAGGGTATCTGCCACAGTTTGTGTGTATCTTCCATAGTATAAATCTTGAAAACTTCTAAGGCTTTTGATTTTTCAGAAATCAAAATAAATGTAACAGTAGTCTTAAAATCATCTATGAAAATTATGAAATTTTATTTTCTTCAATTATTTGTGTGGAAAAAGGACCACAAATATCTTTATTGATTATTTCTAAACGTTGTTTGCTCTTCCTTGAACCCTCTTTTCTTTTGTTTGTCATTTTTCTCTTGACACAATCAAAACTCAAAATCGTTGAAGCCTTTATTATTCAAAGAAAATAAAAAACTAGCAAAACCAACTTTGAAATGAAACTAATTTCATTCTAATATAAGGTACATAAACCATGTTATCAAGTTCTAAACAAAAACTAAAATCTAATTTTATCCTAGTAGTTTCTATTGCCATGACTTCAACTCTTTCATTGCCAAATGAGATTTTTGACTTCATCCTTATTTGGTGTTCTCTTTATTATGAAGTCCTGCAATGAATTGTTACATGAATAGAAGAGCCAAAGCCAAGCCACCAAGCATTGGTAGGCATATCAGTTAAATTTGATTCAAAACAAACAAACAAAAAAATTTGATTTTTTATTTTATTTATTTATTTATTTATTTTTATTTGCCTCCTGTTTCGCAAGCCATGCACTGTACTTGGGACAATTTCTCTTCATATGGCCTGCCTTTTGGCAAAATAACATTTGCAAACGGTAAAATTGTTAAGTTTGAAAGTCCTAGACCTGGGAGTATTTCTAGCATTTTCTTTCCTGGCACCCTTGACCTGTTGCTTTTGGTATGACCTTGAATATAGTTAAAATACTCATCCTTTTCAATTCTCTCCTTTTAATTCTCACTTCCTCCCCAACACAAAAAAAAATTAACTCATTCACATCCCATTTGGCTTTGGTTTGCAAAGCATTGTAAGAAACTTTCAAATGAGTATAGGATTCTGGGATTGAATTCATGTTTACATGCACCAAAAAGGTTTCAGAAATTGGTACCTCAAGATTTCTGAGTTTCCAAGCAATGTTGATGACTCTGAGAATATATTGGCGCACACTTCCTTCACCATCATACCTGATTAGTGAGTGAATTCATGAGGTTGCCAGTTTCAGTTTTCTCGGACTCTTTGTACTTTTCCTCAATAGATTTCATGAACTCTTTTGCATTCGTTGCCTCTGGGAATTCTCCACGAACAACATCAGGCATTGTTCGTTGATTATCATCAGCAAGATTCGATTCGATTTTTGCCACTTTTCATACTTTGATCTTTGGCTGGAAGTGCTTCCATTGACAGTTAGCGGGGTTCCTCAATTCTCAATGCTAAATCCATATCCATGACACCCAGAACGATTTCCAAGTCTTGTTTCCTTTTCTTATAGTTGACGCCAGTGATGATTCAACAGTGTTGAGGTTATGGAACTAGGGTTCATGGCCGCAACTTGAAAAGTATTACTCTTTAATCCCCTTTCTTTATATCATAGACTCAAAAACCTTTGGATTAATGAGTTATATGAAGATTTTTCTTTAATCATGGCACCTTCACAGCCAACATACGTTTTTCTGTAGTCATTGTTACAACCCTTTGTGGATTGCAAGAAGTAACTGTGTTCATACCTTGGATTGTAAAGTGCCATGCCACTTGAGATCAAAACATAGACTACTGAACATCTTTAGATGATCAGTAACGATGCTTCAATCCCAGTGCCAATACTAATTTCGTATTCTTAATGAGAATCATACATATTGCACAGATAGCTTTAGCTATCATATGCATACACATGTTCTCCCTGTATAATACGTAATTAGTCTTTAACCTGATTATTTAAAAAAACAAATCTTTATGCTTTCCTCTTAGGGTTAATTGGTATGTGAAAGCTCTGATACCAAATGTAAGATTAATAAATGCGGAATAAGTAATCACAATACCAAATAATTAACCACTAACCTTTGACGCCATTGCTGCAATGAACTAAGGATTCTTCTACTCTCAACACAGACCGAATGCACTGCTACAATCAATGGGGCTTGATATCTTTTTGTGCGTAATTCGTGTGAGAGCAGGGGACCCCTATTATATATCCTAAATGGTGATGTTTGATAAGGATACTTCCCATCATGTAATCCTTATCAAACTATCAAACCGATAACCCTTATCACCACAAAACCATACTATTCATATCAGTATAGATATATCTACTTATATCAGAATTACTTTAGCTATATATCAGTCCACATACATTCCTTGATAGCTTACAAGTATAGTCAATCCTAATCTCTTATGATCTCAAACCCTTAAGCACGTGTCAAACAAGTGAGCAGCTCTAACAAAGCTTACAGGTACATGATTCCTCGAGCAATTCCTGAAATAATCTTGTATCGTCTTGACCAATCCAATTGCCCTTGTTTCTCAGGGTCTGCAAATCATCAAAATTAAGTTATCATCGACGAACTGCTATTGCAATAGGGAAAGACTATCAGATGTCTTAGTGTACAAACCAAATAGGAAATAGTCTAGGCTTTTGTTGAGCACAAATTCATAAATAAGAATCTTTTCTTGGCCTTCCAAGCAGAATCCCAATAGCCTAACCAGATTTCGGTGTTGAAGCTTGGCTACCAATACCATCTCATTCTTAAACTCTTCCGTGCCTTGGTCAGAGTTCTTTGATAGCCTATTCACAGCTACTTCTTGACCGTTTGAAAGTATACCCTGCTAGAAAACTTCAATCAAACAATGGAATGTCCACTCATGGCATTCATGGACAGATTCTGAGGCTCCAAAATTATTCAGATTTTGCATGCATATAAATTGGAACTTTGTAGACCTGAAGGAGCACTCATATCATATACAGATTAACATGCCTTGTAAACTTTACCGAAACCACCTTCGCCTAACTTGTGATCATCGGAGAAATTGCTCGTGGCTGCTTGGATGGCAGCAAAATCAAATAGCAAAGACCCGACAGTAGTAATGTCATTGTCACCTGCACAACCAACCAAACCATAGAAGCATAATGTTTATAGACGAGGAATAAATGAAAGGAGAATAAACGAGAATAAACAAGAGGAGAATCGCAGAAGAATATATTTGTTTACCGCTTGGTTCGTCTGCTGCTGTTTGATTGTACTTCTTTCTTGCTCTCCTGGTTATGCAGCAGTAACCAACAACAATGAGTAGCACAGATACAGATATTGGTACAGCAATGGCAACAACTGTAACAGTTGGGATTTTGCTTTTTCCTGTAAAAAAAACAAAAAATATTTTCCAATAAACTAATCTCATAATACCAGAAATGACTTGATTGGGGCTTCTAAAAAGTTATAAAATGTTTGTTCGCTTTACCTTTAGGCGGAGGAGGAGGAGCCCCTGGTGCAGGCTCAGGGGCTGTGGCGTTCTCGGCGTAGAAGGGGTAGATTGCATACCTAACGTTACAACTCGGATGCAGAAGTCGTACCGCTAGCTTTCCACTACAACAAATCCTCCATTCCGCTATGGCAACCCTAAAGCACTGGTCGCAAGCAGTCGCGGACAGTGATAAACCTAGTTCACATAAAACTCCAAACCCTAAAGAAAGGTCCACGACAGCAAGGTCCACGACAGCACCACCAATTCAACCTCAACCTTCCAGCTGCAATCCACTTGCTGCACAACCTGACAGAAGACTGCACAACCTGACAGAAGGAATACTTAGCTGCACAACCTGACAGAAGGAATACTTCACATGGTTTCTGCCACCTGTATTATTTATTGCATGCGTGTATTAAACTTGTACTTCACATGGTTTCTGCCACCTGTATTATTTATTGCATGCGTGTATTAAACTTGTATATAAACCATGCTGTCAGTACATCAAGGGTTAAGGACAGTATTATTGTTTATTGCATGCTTGTAAACTTGTATATAAACCATGCTGCCATTGCAGCAGGTATTGAAGTAAGAGAGCTTGATTATTCATCAGCAAAGACGATATTCATCATGGTATCACAGAGCTAACAGTCTAACGACCAAAAGCTTTAATTTTTTTTCTCTTCTCTCTCTCATGGCGTCCAGTTTAAATCCCTCAACTCCCGTTGCTATTCCCTCTCTTCCAAATGCTTCCAACTTTCTGACTATAAAGTTGGATCGTACCAATTATCCCCTACGGCATGCCCAGATGTTGCCCTTGCTTCGAAGCAGGAATCTCGTGTCCTTTGTTGATGGAACCAACCAATGTCCTCCTGCCTTCTTGCAGGATGATGATGGCCAACTCACTGATAAAGTCAATCCTGACTTTGATGCATGGATTCAACACGATGCTATGGTCCTCTCTTGGATCAACAGTTCGGTTCATCCCACCGTTCTTGCCTCTCTTATTAATAAGACAAGTTCTCATTCTGCATGGACTTGTTTACGAGACAGGTATGCTTCTCAATCTACTGGCCGCCTCCTCCAATTGCGTAGTGAGCTTATGAATACCCATCGTGGTGATTCCTCTATTGCTGAGTTTCTTGATCGTATTAATGGTCTTGCTGACACTCTCTCCCTCTCTAGTTCTCCTGTGACTGACTCTGATCTTGTTGCCATTATTTTAAATAATGTTGGGCCTGCTTATGAGAGTACTGTTGCTTCTGCACAAGCAAGGGATGAGGCCATCACTTACAGTGCCTTGGAGGCTCTTCTTCTTGGTGCAGAGAGACGTCAAAAGCTTCATACTGTGTTTGAAAATGGGCACACTGCCCTTGCTGCTGGACGGGGTAGTTCAGGACCTTCTCGTGGTCGCGGTGCTTTTCGAGGAGGCCGTGGTCACTTCAATGGCGGCCGTGGCCAGTTTCCTCCTCGTCCACAAGGCCAAGAACACCATGTTCTTCCACCCCGACAAACCCATTATGGCATTCTTGGTGCTCCTCCTTCTCCAACCCAATCTGGTGGCCGTATCCAATGCCAAATATGTCGTCGTCACGACCATTCTGCCATCGATTGTTTCAATCGCCTCAATATGGCCTATGAATGACGTGTTCCTGCTCCACGTCTCCAAGCTTATGCTGCTGCTGCACCGTCTCCGGCGTCTGCTTCTCCCTCTGGCATTCAAAACTGGCTTTTTGACTCTGGAGCCAATGCACATATCACTCATGATTTGAATTAGGTTTCGAATCCTCGTCCTTACAATGGCACTGACAATGTTAATGGTGTGGTGGATGGACCAGGTTTGCACATTTCTCAAGTTGGCACTTCTATTATTCACACACCCAATCACTCCTTTACCCTTCACTACCCTAATGCTTCTACTAATGTTATTTCCATCAATCAATTTACCAAAGACAATCATTGTTCACTGACCTTATATCCCAATTCCTACCGTGTTCAGGACCTTCAAACGGGGAAGATGCTTTTGCAAGGCCGGAGTAAAAATGGTTTTTATCCATTTTCAAGTTCTTCTGTGGTCAACAATGGAGTCTCTGCATTTGTCGGTGTTAGAGTGTCGGATGCTACTTGGCATTCTAGGTTGGGTCATCCTGCAATTTATGTTTTACGTAATCTAATTTCCAAAAATATATTACCATTAACTGGTAATGCAACCTACGACTTTTGTTCATCATGTCCCCTCGGCAAAAGTCATAAGTTGCCATTTAATTTATCCTCTTCCCAGTCATCATTTCCTTTGGAATTAATACATTCAGATGTATGGATTTCTCCTTCTTATTCCATTAATGGTTACAAGTATTATGTTGTTTTTGTGGATGATTTTTCTCGATATGCATGGCTCTATCCTTTAAAGTTAAAATCTGATGTTTATCAAACCTTTGTTAATTTTAAAAAGCTTACAGAAAATATGTTCAACACCAAAATTAAATTTTTTCAATTTGATGGTGGAGGAGAGTTTGTCAATTCTTCTTTTAAACACTTTTTCACTCAACATGGCATTCATCATAGACTCAGTTGTCCTCATCATCCCGAGCAAAACGGTCTCGTGGAACGCAAACATCGTCATCTTGTTGAAATTGGCTTAACTTTACTTGCTCATGCGTCTCTTCCTCACACTTTTTGGGATGACGCTTTTCAAACTGCAAATTATCTCATTAATCGTCTTCCCACCAAAATATTGAATGGCATCTCTCCTTTCCAAAAACTGTTTTCAAAATCACCACAGTATGATTTTCTCAAGGTATTTGGCTGTGCTTGTTTTCCCTATTTACGTCCATACACTGATACTAAACTTAAGTTTCGATCTAAACAATGCATTTTCTTAGGATACTCATTAAATTATCAAGGTTATAAATGTTATGATCCTACCACTGGCAAGTCTTTTCTGTCTCGTCATGTTGTTTTCAATGAAAAGAGTTTTCCATATAAAGAACTTGTTCCTCCGACCTTGTCAAACCTTAGTCAGTTGGACCATGTCCTGGATATTGATACCTTCCATTACACCCAACCACATCCGAACCCACGGACCCCTCCTTCCCTTCAAAACCTCATTGTCGCCACCTCTCTCCCTCACCCCCTACCACTACCTACCACGGCTTCCCATACTACCCTTCCCTTATCTATTCCAGCCTCCCATTATCACTCACCAATTCCGACTACTCACGTGAATATTGAACCTGCCAACATCATTTTTCCTACTGCTCCATCCACTCATCCCATGATCACACGTGGTCAACAAGGAATTCGAAAACCCAATCCAAGATATGCTTGCATCACTAACATTACTAATACTTTGGTTGAGCCCACATGTTTCTCACAGGCCAATAAGTCTACCCAATGGTGCCAAGCAATGGCAGAAGAATTCAACGCTTTACAGCGTACTGGCACTTGGACTTTGGTACCCTACAAGTCTTCTATGAATGTATTACCTAATAAATGGGTGTATCGCATAAAAAAGAAATCTGATGGTTCCATCGAGCGTTTTAAAGCGAGACTAGTTGCCAATGGCTTTCATCAGCAAGAGGGAATTGATTTTTGGGAAACCTTCAGTCCGGTAGTCACACATGCCACAATTCGGCTCATTCTCTCTATTGCTCTTCATTTTCAGTGGCCTATCCGCCAGCTTGATGTTCAAAATGCATTCCTTCATGGCACGTTGAATGAGGAAGTTTATATGCGCCAACCTGCCGGTTTCATTGATCCACAGTTTCCCTCTCATGTGTGTCGACTTAGACGATCCCTATATGGTTTAAAACAAGCACCCCGTGCTTGGTTTCAATGTTTTTCCCAGAAACTCGAAGACTTGGGCTTCATTGCTTCCCAAGCTGACTCGTCTCTCTTCACCTATTTTGACGGCTCAACAATCATTTATCTTCTTATCTATGTGGATGACATATTAATCACGGGGAACAGCAATGCTCACTTGTCTCAGTTTATCACGCAGCTTGGTACTCATTTTGCAATGAAAGATCTTGGGCCCTTACACTACTTCTTGGGGATGAAGGTTTCACGGACGCCTTCTGCTTTCTATCTCACTCAATCCAAGTATATTTTGGAGCTTCTACAGACAACTAATATGGCTGACGCCAAGCCCATCTCAACGCCAGTTCCCAGTGGTAAACGCTTGAGTTTATATGATGGAGAGCCTCTCTCAGATGGATCTTCTTTTCGCAGTGTTGTGGGCGCCCTTCAATATCTTCTATTTACACGTCCTGATATTACTTACACTGTCAACCAAGTGTGTCAGTTCATGCACTCTCCAACTACTGCACATTGGGCTGCAGTCAAACGCATCTTACGGTATTTGAAAGGCACACATGATCATGGCTTAATTTACAAACCCAGTCCCCTCACTCTAACTGCCTTCGCTGACGCTGACTACGCCGGCGACCCTGATGACCGTCGTTCCACTGGAGGTCACTGCATATTTCTTGGAGATAATTTAATTTCCTGGAGTTCGAAAAAGCAACGTGGAGTGTCCCGGTCCATCACAGAGGCGGAGTATCGTCAACTTGCCTATACTTCTGCCCATCTATCATGGTTTCGAAATCTATTCTGTGATTTATATCTACCATTACAGCCACCTCGTCTCTGGTGTGACAATATCAGCGCCATTGCTGTTGCTTCCAATCCTGTTTATCAAGCTCGCATGCGCCATGTTGAAGTGGATTATCACTACATAAGGGAAAAGGTCATTTGCAAGGAACTAGAGGTTGGTTATGTGGCTACCACATATCAAATTGCTGATTTTTTAACCAAGGGTTTGTCCTCTATCCGTTTCCATTATCTTATCTCCAAGCTTCCCGTTCGTCAACGCCCCGTCAGCTTGCGGGGGCGTGATAAACCTAGTTCACATAAAACTCCAAACCCTAAAGAAAGGTCCACGACAGCAAGGTCCACAACAGCACCACCAATTCAACCTCAACCTTCCAGCTGCAATCCACTTGCTGCACAACCTGACAGAAGACTGCACAACCTGACAGAAGGAATACTTAGCTGCACAACCTGACAGAAGGAATACTTCACATGGTTTCTGCCACCTGTATTATTTATTGCATGCGTGTATTAAACTTGTATATAAACCATGCTGTCAGTACAGCAAGGGTTAAGGACAGTATTATTGTTTATTGCATGCTTGTAAACTTGTATATAAACCATGCTGCCATTGCAGCAGGTATTGAAGTAAGAGAGCTTGATTATTCATCAGCAAAGACGATATTCATCAGACAGGTCCTGTGTGCACTGTCCAAGGCTGTACAGGGGAATCAGATCACTGACGTTCTCTTCTTTTGTAGCGAACTTGTCGGCGTCGTAGGCAGCCTTTGTAGCCACCTCGTTCATACTCGCCTCCACCACCTGGTTGAACCGAGTCTGGTCGGTGGCGTTATCCATGTCCCACATGTACAGGGGGGTCAACTCAGGGGCGGTGGAGAAGAATAACTCGTTGGAATAGCGTAGCATGCAGTCGTCGTACCAGATCACCACCTGTTTTTTTAAGGAGCAGCGTTTTGGGGCCTCGGGGATTGCGGTGGCGACACAGGTTTCGCAAGCGTCGGTGCCCACGACGTCGCCGCGGCAGAGGAAAAGGCCGTACACGGCGTTGTTTGTGGTTTGGACTGTGGCGTTGTAGAAACCGGTGGAGTGGTTAGCGTTGGAGGAGAGGGTGGAGAGGAGGCGGTTGAGGTTGGACTGGAAGGTGGAGTTTGGGGTGAAGGTGGCGGTGTTTGGGCAGAGTTGAGCCAGGTAATCAGCTTCCGTACTGGTCGGAAAGCTGAGCAGAGTAAAAACGGAAATAATCAAAAGAAGGGCAGTAATGTTTTTCATTTTTTGACGATTGATCATAAAATCATAGGTTTGTATTGAGTATCAACAAAAGCAATGCAGGAGTGGAAGAGTTCCTCTCATTAAATAGACATGTAAATGGGCTGGATTTATTGAGTTTGTAGTGGGTTGAATCTGACCGTTAATCTAACAAGTCACTCAAATTCAACTCATTAATCTATTAAATAATCCGTTTCACCTGTTAACAATTTATTTTTTTTGCAAAAATAAAAGAATGTATATTCCGTTCACATTGAAAATTTTCCCATCTGCAAGGTATGTATGGTATATTATTATTTAATTATTAAATCATTATAATACATATGTGTACAGTATGCATTATCAATCATCTAACAGTGATAAATATAATGGTGAGTATATACCATACTAAATGGTGGTGAGCAAAAATGTTTCCAAAAAAACAAAGGTAGGAAAATCAAAATTTTAAACTAAAATATATAGTTGTTGATAATTAAACTATGTTGGTTAACGCGCTTAATTTGTATTGGTGACATATTTTTTAATTTAAAATTTTAATTTCCCTAATATTGTTTTGATTAATCCCACCTTGTACGTACCTTGTGCACATAAGAAAGGTTTAGGTCAGCTGATATACCTTCAGCCCGTGTTTAACGGTTTCTTCGTTGTCGCCCTTCTTCTTTGTTTGGTTTTTCAAAGTTTGGCTTTTCAAAGTGATCTTCTCATGATTGAAATGTAGTTATGAATTGACAGGAACGTTTGAACCGGCAGACAAGTTTTGTCCTAAGAGTTGAGTTTTTTTTCCTTCCTCAAATATTCAACATCTTTGATTTTTTTTTTCTTCATTCTTTTTAACTCTTCTTAAACTTGAACTTGAGTATATGGGGCCGAAAATATCTTAATCAACTAACCTAATCAACTTTTGCTATTGGACATGTTCAATTAATGCTTTCGAAACTTCTTTAATTTTAGAATTGTTAGTTACACTGAAACTCCTTAAGGTTTATCGTTTTTTCACAAAACTTCCTCAGGTTTGAAACATTACACTCACACTCCTTGACGTTTTAATTCACTTTCACATCTACCCCTTAAGGACAAAATTACCCTTGTAGTTAATTAGTTTCAAATAATTTTTTTTAATAAATAAATGCAAAAACAAAATCAAAATAAACAAATTATATTAACACATTAAAATATATAAAATGAAACCCTAGATGCATGTCTTATATCATTGGATCCTTCATCCCTGCCAATTTCTTAGCCGGCACCCTATATATATCGTATCTCTTCTTCCCTTGCAATTGCTTAGCAAGCATACCCCACCAGTGGGGCCCGCCCGGCCGGCCCCGCCCTGAGGCCTCGTTCTCTCTCTCAAGTAATAATATAAAACTTTGAAAATGAGGGATGCAGTGAACATCCTAAGTTGAGAAATATTTTCGTTTGTTGATCTCATTCACAGGCTCCACCTAAAGACAAAGGGGCATATTTTACAAGTTCTTTTTTATTGAAGGATTGGATTCAATAACATGCATAGCCATTGATTCTCCTACTGTAAGGATTTTCTGCTGATCATAACGAAAAAGCTTATCTAAAAAATCAATAGCCTCTGGAGAAGCTAGATGTCGATTTCCCACATTGATAAATCCTACAAGAGTATTTCTTTGGGTTTTTTTTATATTTCTAATGTTTAAATGTAGTTTTTGATTTATTTATCTATACATTTTATTTTTAATAATTAACTACAAGGGTAGTATCATCCTTAGGGGTGGATATGAAAGTGAATTAAAACGTGAAGGGGTGTTGATTCAAACCTTAAGGCGTTTTGTGAAAAAAGAATAAACCTCAAAGGATAAACCTTAAGGGATATTAGTGTAATTAACCCGTCTTCAGAATCTTAGAAAAGATTCCTCCTTGTGGGTTGAATCTTCTCTGATTACCTACCCCTTTAATTTTTTATGTCACATAATAAATTTACAATGTACTAAAATAATTATGATTTTGCATAAAAGAACACGGTATCCGTTGTCTGCCTCTCTGCACTCTCCTCTTTCTTTCTCCGTCCTAACCTCAAGCCTCTCTCTGGCTCTTTGCTTCATCAAGCTTGGCCTGAAATTTTGCTTTCATAGAATTCCCATTTGCAGAGAATTCAACCAACCAAACACCTTTCAAAATCCCATTTGCTTTCATGGAATTCCCCAGTTCCTATTAATTGCCATTCCATTTTCTCTCTCTATTTTCTCACTAACTAAACACCTTTCAAAATCCCCAGTTCCTACTAATTGCTCACTTTGTCTGTCGTATCAAATTAAGATCACGGTTTGCTGAAAACGACGGAGTTGGGTATTGACTTCCCGCAACGGAACGTGACTGGTGGGGGAAGAATCAGCGGAAGTGGAGTGTTTGGTAGGTGAGAAAATTCAGGTCGTTTGTGAGAGAGAGAGAAAGAGATGTGTGTGTGTGATCTGAGATACCAATAGACCTAGATGGCGGAAGACCCCAAATCACCGACCCAGATGGGAAAAGATCTTTTTTTTTCAGGGGAACGAGGCAGACGAAGCAACGTGGGAGACTTAGCAGTCCTGTGATATTTGGGGGGGGGGGGGGTTCAGGGAGAACTTTTAGGACGTGTTTACGTATTCGTAAATGAGGGGGGGGTTCAGGGAGAACTTTTAGGACGTGTTTACGTATTCGTAAATGAGAGTGTGGAATTGAATTTTGAGTACGGAGTACTTCGGTGTTTATTAAACATGGAGAAATCAAAAAAGTAGTGGGGTCCAAATTCCTTGTATTGGTGGAATTGGATTCCCTAGATATAGGTAGTAATCCAATTCCTAATTGTTTGGGTAATCCGAATGATACTTTTGTTCCCTTTATGTCCTCACTTATTTTTTTATTTTCCAAGACTATCCTTTTTAAACTCATTAAAGTATATAAAATATTTGATTTGGGACAAGGGCATTTTAGTAATCATACTGGTTTATATTCCGATTTTGCTGAATTAGTAAACAACTTTATGGAATTCTATTCCGATTCCAGAACATTTAAGTAAACAACTTCAACAAGAATATGATTTTGACTTCTCCTTATTCCAACTTCTCCTCAATTCAATTCCTCTTATTTTCATTACCGTTAGGTAAACATGCCATTAGCAAGGGAGGCAGTCGGAGCGAGTTGGGTTACTCCCATTAAACTGAATCTTTGTGCCTATCAAATATTTTTACTTCTCACATTCTTTCAATTTTCAATCATCGAATTAGATAAATTGAAAAAAATTAAATGACAGATATTAACGAGGGTGTAAAAAGTACAAAATAATGTTTGAATAGCACAACTTCATTAGTAACTAATCTAATTCAGTCCAATAAAAATTAAGGGTAAATTACATAATACCCCTTCATGTTTGAGGTCTATTACAACTTCATACAACTTTTTAAAAATATTTCACTTTCATACCTCACCTACTATTTTATTTCAATATTCGTTACATTTTCCATCCATTGATCTATTAACCGCTGACATGGCTGCTACATTTGTGCTATTCTGACCAACATGTGACCAAAAAAAAAAAAATTTATACATTAAAAATATTATAATATTAACCCTATTTAATAAAAAATAAAATAAAAAAATAAAAAACACCAAACCCAGAAATCGTCTTCCCCACCCAGAATCCCATGTCTTCCCCTTCCCCATTCCCAGCCGCATTCACCCAAATTCCTCCATTGCCAAATTCCTTTCCTTTCTCCATTGTACTTCGCTGCCTTTATCCACTGCAAAATTCCTCTCCACTTTAATCTCATCATCGCCATCATCAAAATTCTCATCATCCCCATCATCAAAATCCAAAATAAATTGGCTCTAATTATCAAACAATTCAAGAGGAACATCGACGAAAACATTGTCGCATCGTTCCTACCTACATACCCTCACAGCGACCACGACCCACATCCATGCGACCGCTATGCCCAGATCAGTTCTTGATCTGTTGAAGGCTTGAAGCCAAGAAACCCGCCCCTGGAGCCTAAAATCCGAAGACCCAAGAAGCGCCAGAAGAAAAACAACAGAGAAAACAGGGACTGTAAACGTTTTAGAGAAAGAAAGTAGAGACGAGCGAAGAAGGAACGAGATCTGATCGTAGAGAAAAGCAAGCGAAGACCTTATAGGATCATTTTGTCCGTGGCTTTTGTGCCATGCTGCTATCACAAATTGAGCCCTGTTTCTCTTCTCGTTTAGTTTGTTTGGAGAAACCTTGTTTTCGCAGATGGGTTTAGGGTTAACGTATTAAATTACCATGAACAAGTAACAATCGTTGTATGTTTTTGTTTGTTCTTTTTGCTCTTCTGCTTTGTTTGTTCTTTTTCTTCTTCTAGTACATAACAGGCATTCCTTCAATTTGGAAATCTCGATTTGTCTCGAAATTCTGAAAATATTTTGGGATTTCCGAAATTTTGATTTATGATTGATATTCGAAGTTCCGTATCGAGCAAGCATCATGTTGCATAAGCATGACTAATTTCAATCATTGCAATAAAGCGTTGTCTGCATTATTATTATTGAATTGAAATGAAATGCAATGCTCGAGCAATACAACTTGAAAACCAAACAGTTCCTCAACCTAATTGCACGAGGCATTGACATGAAGAGCAAACGTAGGCCAGATTTGGGTATAATACACACATGTATGTACTTTTTTTAAATATTTTCATTTTTTGGTGCGGTTATAACAAGATCAAATTTGCAGATATATTATACACGTATATAACATTCATGTCAGGGGCAGAGCCACTAAAGGACCATAGGCCCATCTTGATTACGGTATAAGAAATTTTTCAGCAGCCCCAAGCCTTCAATTGCCATGAGACATGAGGAAGATGAATTGTTCCTCGTGAAGAAGTTGAGTCATGAGTCGAACTACGTATTTGTTTTCTAGTTCTAACAGTTCTGTTGTTTTATTTTTGTAGTTTGATGAAATGGTGAGTTTGTAGATGGGAGTTTGAAAAAGGATTTTAATATTAACTCTAAACTAACCTAATTATCGATTATTTGCAGACTTCCTTTTTGCCCTCTTATGTAACACATAATTTTTTTGTACGT